AATGTGAATAAAAGTTTCATTTGTCTACTTTCTAGTAAATGAAATGATTAAAATAATTAATACTCAACAAAAGTATTAAAAATGTTCGAAAAACAACCCACATATCGCATGCTGTATGCGGTTCATTCATCTATTTTAATTTTTTTATCTTGTAGTTTGTTTTATGAAGGGGAAGGAAATAGGCTTGCACTACAGTCTAATCAAACAACTGGAGTTTGATAACACAAAACTGTACTTTCCTTCCATTACCGATTGTCCAACAACATATTTGTTGTCTATACCGAAGTACCTTAAATGCTATACATTTAAAACAAATAAATAAAAATAAAATTTTGTATTGTGTTTTTGCACTTTTTAGATTTGTATTCACAGCTGTTAATTCGTTTCGCTGCAATTTTTTTTTTTTTTTGATGTCTCGTTCTAATGAGAATTTGATCTAACAGACATGTATGTCACGGTGGCACGTACGGAAGTCATCCTGTTTAAACACACACACACACACACACACACACACACACACACACACACACACACACACACACTCACACACACACACACACACATTGGGCACTAATGCAAAGCCAGACTCTTTTGACTCATTAAAGGTTACTGTCAAACTTAGTTTCTTGTTCATTACCGCAAATAGGCTGTTGTAAAATTCATAAAGAAGAAAGACACGAGACAGACCTCTTCTTTAAGATAATGTCAGAAAAATGCTGAAGTCGATACAATAACCAAGTGTACTCAATTATTTAAATATTTTTGATCATGCTTAATAAAACAAATATAATGTTTAGCGGTATGTTTTCCAAAACAAAGCTAACGATGCCGTTTATTTTTTATTTATTTTTTTTTTTTTATTTGTACAGAAATAAAGAAATGACATAAACGTTAAGCGTGTTGCAAATTTTAACACTACTTAAATAAATATTAATAAAATAAAGCTAATGTTTATGAATTATATGTGAAAAATATGGTACAAGTTGTATTTTATTTTTTACCAAAACTAGAACACATTTTTTGCCTTTTGAATAATTGCATACATTATATAAGTAAAACAGTAATAGACATGGCGCATTTTGTTATGAGTTGTTCAATTCGTATTTGTTTGAGCTATTTTGTTAAGTTATTTCCCTTGCATTATAAAATTGTGTTCTTCTGTAAGAGATCTATATTTAATAAAGGGATTTTCTTGCAGTTATGCATCGTTTTTTCTTACTTAAAGAGCATTTAACTTAAAAAAAATAATAAGGAAATGGTTACTTTGAGTGAAAACGATATATAAGATAAAGGTTGAAAAACTGGATATTACTGTAGGACATTGTGATTTATATAAAAATGTTTTGTTTTACTTTTCCCAAATTTTCGTGCAAAATTTTTAATTAAATAAAGTTCACAAACAAGCATCATATTGTCAAATTGAATATTACCAGACATTGTAGTGTTACACGCTTGGAAGGCGGAATGGGTGGATCGCATCCGCCCCGCCTTGCGACGTCTCTGAGTAGGGCATATTATGTATAGTTTAATTTTGAAAAAGGCCCGGCTTAACACATTCTTGTGTAGATTTACATGCAAGGGAATTATCTAAAAGAAATTATTTAAAAAAAAAATTAATATAAAAAAAAATAATTATTATTAAAACATAGTTATTTAAGCTTGTTCCTCAAATGTATAAAACTGAAAAAAATTAGTCAGGAAATTTTTACTACTTTATATTATACAAAAATACAAGTTGGACGAATTTTCAATATGATTAGAGACACTATAGTTTTATTTTTAGAATAGTTGTTTATGTATTATTAAAATACATTTAATCATGACCATTTCAAAAGGACCTTTACCTATTTCTGGATCCCTGACAAAAGGGACACAAGTGAATTTAAATTTATAGACATGTGGAATAGTTATGTGGTGTAAAGCTATCTCATTAATTAAGTATTGAAAGAAAAACTTAGCAAATATGCTAATGGTGTGGATGCGAATCTACTTTAATCAGAGTTCTTTCAGACATTTTTCCCTATGTGGCAATTGCAACTTCGACGGGCGGGGGGGGGGGGGGGGGGGGGGGGGGGGGGGTGATGGGGGGGGGGGGAAGAAAGATTTTACCAATCGCCTAAAATAATATTATTACGACTTGCTTATTAAACCCTTAAAGTTAAAAAAAAAAAGCGAAATGTTACAGGTTTATCTCTTCAAGCAAAAAAAAAATAATAATTTTTTAGCAAAAGATAAAAATATATCAACGGCAAGAAAATGTATACACTGAAACACTGTGAGTAATTAAAGTAACTAACAGTTTTCCAAACCTAAATATTATTCTTCAAAAAATTTAATTTTAGTATCGAAATCAAAATACGCAACGGTAGTGTATTTTAACCCACGTTGTGTATAGTCCCCTAAAGTAACAACTCTGTCTTCGAGCCTAACACGGATGTCTTATATTATTTTGTCCACATTTTATTATGCCTCGTATTTTTATTTTTATAGCGTATATTATCATTGTCCGAAGTCTGCAGGTAATGTATTGCTGTGCTAATAGTTTGACACATGAAGAATGTTGTAGATTTCGATGGAATCATATTTAAATAGAGGAACCGGTGAATGCTGAGTGCCATACAAAAAAATAACATAATTATATATATATATATATATATATATATATATATATATATATATATATATATATATATATATATATATATTTATTTATTTATTTATTTATTTATATTTATTTATTTATATATATATATATATATATATATATATATATATATATATATATATATATATATATATATATATATATATATATATATCAAGCTAAGTTATAGGCACATTTGCTAAGAATTTTGTGATTGGATGGATATTATTAAGGTGCTCATTTATTCTGGTTTTCATCAGTAAGGGAAAGAAACGCTATTTTCTTGAATTACGTAGTATATCCGCTGTTGTTTCCCTTGGACTGTAGGGACACAAGTACAGTGTATTTCTTCTTCGACGCTTATAAAATTGCAAACGTCTGACTAACACAATATTATCTAACAATATACGAGCTTACTTATGTAAATGGATCGTCATTATTTACGAAATGCATTTAACTATTTTGTGATCATTATAATCATAATAAAGACATTCTCAAATTGCTATAACTACTATTGTCATACTCTAAACGTATCAACGAACACATCACCGCTGTCCTCATAGTCGTTGAATTGTCAAATGAGCTACATAGGTAGACATTAAGGCTTTATGTAAATAGTTTAATTCTAAAAAAAATGCGCTGGCCAATGTCGAATTTATTATCACCCTCCTGTAGTAAAATGGTCACAAGCAAGGGCAATAACTATACCAAATAAAGGAAACAAATACGAATCGAAAAAAAATACACCATAATTATTGGAGTTTTTTTTTAATTTTTATTTAACGTATGCAATGGTACTTTAATCAGAAAATGTGAACTAGTTTTAGTTTAAATGCAAAGAAAATGCAAGTTGTATCTTATTTACACGAAGACAATAGACACATTATCTTTATTTTATAAATCATTATTTAAGTATTGTTAAGATATATTTACAATATTCTTTTTTCCTGTGTTAGAACTATTTCTGGATCCCTTACTTAAAGGGACATAAGTGAATTTAAATTTTGGTTAGTGTAGTTCAGGGGTCGGCAATCTTTTGAGACGGAAGAGCCAAAAGTTACAATTTTCAAAATTTCCCAGTTATAAAGAGCCACACACATTTTTTTTATACCAATATTTTATTATTCGATTAGGATTAGGTAAATAAATTTGATATGCTATTTCAAATAAATAGCTTTAAATATAACATACACTTCTTTCGAGAATCAAAAAAATAAAAACATAGGACTATCCCAATCCACTTTAGAAGCAGTTAACTTTTTCTTTCTTTACGTACATCACCTGCTCAATGGGTGTCTCCCATTAGCCAGGCAGGCCTTGACACGGCAAACTAGGACAAAGTGGCTTGCATATTCGTTTGATTACCGTGTATTGGTCTTTTCTATCCTTTGGATCTCAACAGGCTTATCTTCCACCCCACTGAACGGAAGGTAAACTCGTACCCCACCGTCCAGTACCCGGTTCAACAATAGTAACTAATCACTTAAAAACTACTACACGCACGTCAAATTAAAGATTACTAACCGATACGGACATGCATTCTGAATAAAATGACATTCACATTTAACGCTATTCGACAAAGTCGGCACTTGGCAGTGGCAAGCATGGAATAGTCGCCACGCGGCTGGCCACAACACGGATGTGGGGCTGGGCCTGGTGCCCAAGCAGCTGTCCGTATACTTTCTACTCCACCTACTCTCAATGTTCTCTGATGAGTGGTTTTGTCCTGTTTAAAGTTTAGTTTCTTTCAAAGTATAATATTTGTTGCGAAGTGGAAATAATATTTTCCCGTAGGCCAACCAGAACAAGCCTTCGCCGTTTTGAGGGTTAACAAGGGGGACAACTGGATATTGCAGGGGTCGGCAACCTTTTGGGACTGAAGAGCCAAAAGTCAAAATTTTCCAAATTTTCCAGGTTTTAAAGAGCCGCCATACTTTTTATTAGAATGTTATGGTATTTGATTAATAAATGTTAGGTATATGCATTTGATTTTTTATTTAAAATAAAGAAATAGCTTTAAATGCGAAACAATCTTTATTCTTATAAGTACATACAAAACAAAGTATTTTAGCTAGCTGTGCTAGAATAATATAATTAGTAATCAAAGAATGTAACTGTAATTTTAGAATAATATTTTACAATAATTACATCAATGGGAGCATTGGCCTTGCATAACTTGTTGTTTTCAGTTTCAGATTTGTATTTGTAAGTTGGCTTCTTACTTTACTTTTGATTATATTCATGCAAGAGAACGCTTGCTCGCACGAATATGTGGACCCGAAAATCGTCAGCACTCCAAATGCCAACTTCTTTACCTCACTGAAAGATTCTGGCAGACTATTCCATGCTTCAAATATTAGTGTCTCAACTCGCGGCATTTCTTTAAGAGACGCCCACTTGTGCAGCTTAACATGCTTTTCTGGACCTCCAACTCTTCCAACTTGCTCTCGAGTTCTGTAAACTTATCACTCCACAAATGTTTGGTTTTCAAATCTAGGAGTTGCATTTGAAGCAAACCAGCATCAATTTTAAATGGTTCAATGTTGATCTCATTTGTATTTGTGTTGAGAGGATATACAATGAAAGCTAGTGTACTTGCGCTCGTTTTGAATTGCTCAAATCTTTCAGCGAATCCATCCTTCATTTTGCTTATGGTAACGCTGAAGTATTTGGTGTCAATAGTTGCATTATTTTCATCACGATATTGCTTAAGATTTTCGAAATAAAGTAATTTGCCGCTCTCCATATCTTCTACAAAGAGAACTATTTTTTTTTCGAAACAAATCACTTCTTCAAGCAAAGCATATGCGGGGTTTCCCTTCCCTTGGAGTTTTACATTTAGCTCGTTTAGTTTCTTTGTGATATCCACCATGAAGTAAAATTTTTGCAGCCATTTGTCTTCTTTTAATTCTGGATGGACAATGCCTTTTTCATTCAAGAATGTTTCTATTTCACTCAAACAAGAAGCAAAACGTTTCAATACGTTACCCCTGGAAAGCCAACGCACTTTATTGTACATAAGTAGGTCAGAATACTGGCTTTCTAATTCTTCAAGAAACTCCTTAAACTTGCGATGGTAGAGAGCTTTAGCCAAAATGCTGTTACTGATCTTAATAACCAAGTCCATGACCTCAACCATTTCTGTCGGAAATGTTTGGGCACAAAGCGCCTCTTGATGAATTATACAGTGAAACGTTAAAATTTCGTGGTTTATTTTCTGACGAAGAATTGTTGTAACACCTTTATGTATTCCTGTCATACTTCTGGCTCCATCAGTTGCTATGGAAACTATTTTGTTTATATCGATTTCATAGTCTTCCAGGCAGTTTTGCACAGCATCTGCTATGTTTTCTCCACGAGTTTGCCCTGAGAGCGGCAGTAAACCTAGCAGTTCTTCTTTAGGACCTTGGGACAAAATATACCTGGCGAATAGGGTAACTTGTGCCGTGTCTCTTATGTCGCAAGACTCATCCATAGCAAGTGATATAGCAGAAGCCGACTGAATGTCTTCCACTTGCATGTGTGTTATATTTGAAGACATTTTAGAAGTTCTATCTTGTACTGTTTTAGCAGACAAAGGCAAATCTTTGATTTTCTTCATGATTTCGGTTTTGTTTTTGAAATCACGAAACAGTTCTTCAGCTCCAACTATGAAACAATCTTTGATGTACTCGCCATCTGTGAATGGTTTCCCTCTTTTTGCAATTTGTAATGATATCGCGAAGCTAGCCAGCTTGACATTACTTGAAGATTGCGTCCAGTGGTTGAGCATAGAACTGGACTGTTGTTTTTGTTTTTGAAGCTCTTTGACAGCTTTTTTCCGTGCCTCACCGGTTGGATATTGTACAGCGAATCGGGCATGTTTTGTAGTGAAGTGTCTCTCCAAATTTGACTTCTTATTGGCAAATGAGACCAGAGTTTCTTCCAGGCATCTCTTCGGGAGGGCGAAGCCCCCCCCCGAAAAATTTTTACCGCCCCCCCGAACGAAATGAAATTTATATAATAATTTATATAGAAAATATATACTTTTAACAGTGTCCGCCCCCCCCCCCCCGAAGAAAGTCTACCGCCCCCCCCCCCCCCCCGAAAATTTCAAGTGCCCCCCCCCGGAGAAAAAAGTCTGGAAGAAACACTGAATGAGACAAGTCGGCAGACCATCTGTGTTGCATATGAACGCAAACGACTCGGTCCAATCCTAATTAAATTTTCGATTTTCTTCTTCAATTCTTCTCTTCTTTCTATCAGATGCCATACTGGTGGCGGGGTTAAAATAAAGATTTTAAAAATGTTATTGCGCATCTAAAACGGCGTCAATAAATCATTAAGTTAATAGTAAATTTTGTATATTGCTAATTAAAAAAAAAAAAAAAAAACTTTTATTAAATGTTAAAGCGTATGGATAAGTATTGTACCTCCAGGCAGAATCGTTTTTTTTTTTTAAATCATCGTTAGAAGTATTTTTTGTCTTTCTATAACATGTTTACTGAATGTCACTGTAACAAAATAAATAAGTATACGAAACAAAAAAATGTTCTTGTACCTTTGGACGTTCGAAGGTACAAGAACATGAATGATTGTCCAGCGGTCCAACAAGGGTACTTTTAGAAACTTCCACGTGTAAAATAATTTGACATGATGAATATTCAAAACAGACAATACATTTAAAAAGCTGAACACATATAGTTTGTAATATAAAAATTATCATAACAGCGTGAAACAAACAGAATATGCAGTACATCATAACTATGAAAATATTTACCTCAAAACAATAACGACAGATATTACATACACAATTGAATGAAGTGTGTTAATATCAACAATATTTAATAGGAAGTACTTTGTAATAGGGAATAGTTAATAATTCTAAAAGAATAGGGAGGTTTTATTGTTTAAATTTCTTATTATATCTTTCATTACAGAGTGTTGTAAAAAGCTTGCCGTCTGACATTACCCATACCAAGCGACAATCAGCTGTCCGTAAACCGTATACTCTCTCCTCCACCTATTCTCACTGTTCTGTGTTGAGTGTTTTTATCCTGTTTTAGTATTTTCCGCGGTATACTATTTTTTTAAAGAGTATAGAAATTGAAATAATTTAATGATTAATATTTGCGCATTGAACTCGAGAGCCGCACTTTGACATCAAAAGAGCCGCATGCGGCTCGCGAGCCGCAGGTTGCCGACCCCTGGGATATTGTATTGGTGGTCTGTCGTCCACACTAAAATACATTAACTATTGTTTATGTTCCCTTTTTCAAGGGAGCCAGAAATAGTTTATTAACATCTAAGAAATATAATAGTGTTGAGTGAAGTGCACAGATTATGATTAGCATTTAAAAAAAAATTATCTAGTGTTTGTAATTTATAATGTAACATTAAGTTATATTACATATGTAAAAAGTTAAGAAAGTAATAAATGTTTTATTAAAAATGTAAAAGATGTAATGATTTTCTACTCTAGTTGTAAATGTTTATTGATTATTTTTATAGTTAGATACGTATATATTTCTTGCAAGCCAGTGTTAAAAGTTGTCTCCCTCGTTAGTTTTTTTAAATTAATATATTTAACATAGGGGAAGTAATGCATTTTGTCCAAGCCAAGTTAACTTGTGCTTGCCGCTGCTTTGAAAAAAAAAAGGAAAAAAGAAAGACAAACATTTTCTAAATAGATTAAACATTGCTTAAATATTTATTATTTCAGCTGAGCAAATGATGTTTCGACAGAATGCTTAGTTGCTTTGTAAGGAAGCAATCAGTTTTTCAAACCGATAGCAGTTAGGTGGACAAAATATTTGTATGTAAGTATTAGCTTATATACATGTTTCTATCAAGTTTTGGGGGATTTTCGGTAACTGGAAGTGGTGTAAGTTACCGGTTAAACGTCCACTGATGTCATGTGATGGGGTCCACCTTGTGAGGCTAAAGATCTGTACTGTATCGTAATACAAAAACTCTAGACGATAGTCATAATATCTATAGAGTCGATGGGCCCGTTGTTTAAACCACTGTACATACGTCTGGCCTTTCGCTCAATAAGTTTTAAAAAACGGTAAACATGAACGGCCTCGTTTTAAACAGCTGCATTCATTGGATATTTATAAAATATCACAATTTTGATGTACTTACAGGTAAAAAGACGTGCGGTTTATCTAAAGTGTATGATACTTTTTAAACTGCTTAAGGGTTAATATTTCAGTAAGAAGGTTTCAGTAGTGTCGTGAAAGGGTATGGCTGAAGGGACAGAATGAGTTCAAGTCCGTGTTCTTTGAATTGACCCCTAGTGAACCGCCCTTCACTAGGATATTTTTGAAAACTTTCTTCGGCAATATTGTTCTAAATTATGGCAGGAATCGATGGGTAAATGTTTCAAGTCGCTAAGTGGTCTGGTTGCCGAGATATGGGCCAAAAACTGCATTTTTTCGAGTTTTTTTTTTGGCTTTTCCGGGAAATCCAGGAAAGAATTCCGGGAATTTTTTTGGCCCACAATCATCTTCAGAACTTGCTTAACATATTTGCTTTTGGAACTAGTCCTCGATATTGCTTCGTTGAGGAGGAGATACGACTTAAAGCTGCGGACACACATCCATCCAGAACGCATTAATAATCGCAATTGTCCAGTATGGAAATTGCGCTAAAAATATATTCTTACATTTCAGGGGAGACTACTTACTATAAACTGCTACATAAACTTCTAACAAAAATCTTTATCTGTATATAATTTCAACTATATGTTAGTTTTATTTAAAAATAAAAATTAATTTGTTTTTAAAATTTACTAAGGAGAACAACTACATATATATGTTTTTAAATGTATAGAAATATTTTTAAACATGGTTTTATACTGAACATAGACACATGAGTTTTATTTTTTCATAAATTGTTTTATTCAAGAGTCTGTTACAATTGTAACATATTTGAAAAAGTATAACACGTGTAATTTTGGCTCCCATTCTAATGGGACAACTCCTTTATTAATGGTAATCTATCATTTTAGATCAGGGGTCGGCAACCTTTTGAAGCGGAAGGGCCAAAAGTTACAATATCCAAAATTTCCCTGGTTTTTAAGAGCCACTAACATTTCTTTATTTCAAATATTTTTTTATTAAGATTATTAGTGTTTGTGCAAGGAGCTGGAGAGCCGCATCTTGATATCAAAAGAGCCGCTTGCGGCTAGCGAGCCGCAGGTTGCTAACCCCCTTTTTAGGTACGTAAAATCGCCCACGTCTAGTATTGAGAAAAACAGGTGACTCCTTAAATTTTAATAATTATTTCATATTTTGAGGACGATTTATGTTTTGAAAAATACAAAAATGTTTGCTTGTTTCATTTATGTACCTGTTTTTAAACAATTAAATTAAAACTTTTCAGTAATAAATGAAGACTAGAGATGTTTCCAACAGATGCAACCATGTTTATTTACCACGAGCCAACTAGCGGCGTATCATACGCCGCTATTTATTAGTTTTATTTTCTACTTTTCAGTAATTCATAATTTGTGAATTCGACAGTACCAATGCTGCCACTGAAAAAATTTGCGTTAAAACGCTAAAACCCTCCTTTCCCCCAACCCCTACCCCCCCCCCCACCCCCACCCACGTGAAAGCAGCCTCCACTTAGTTACTTCCACTAATTATAAAATAGTTTAAACTGAATTATCTGCCCCTAATAGCGATGTAAACATATAGCGTGAACTACAGCTCACCAGACCATGTGGGGGTGGGGGTGGTTGCGATATGCCTAGAGAGGAAAAGAGGGGACTGCTAGGCGCACTTACAGCTTGTTTTCTAACGTCTCCCAGAAGAGAATTATATATATAGATAGCAGCCATCTTGTTAAAGTTTTTTTTTTGTAAACTTATAGCGCGAGATTCAGGGGGGGGCACTCTATTTTACAAATGGCTGCTGTTTATATAGCTAATCTTGCTCGCAGACACGGCTGTTTAAAGTTATTTTCTGGACTATGTTGATATATTTAGCCATTGATTTAGGTTTAATATTCATTTATCTGTAATATTTGACACAACTATATCACAATATACTTCTATTAAAGCGTTGACAATGAGGTAACTTTTTCGTACATTTTCTTCATTAACACCACCACCCCCACCCCTCTTTCCACATAATAACCACTAATGACATCGAGCAGAAAACAATGGCTACTATAGCGAACTAAACTCTACTAACCTGGTATTAGGAAGTTACTAGACTGAGACCACGTGACAACACCCCTATTATACCCGTACAATAAACAAGAACAAACAGGAGAGGTCAACGTGACAACAGACAACACATAACACGAGGGTTGAACATGAACAATACATGCAGGTAACATATAGCACGAGGGTTGAACATGAACAATACAGACAGGTAACATATAGCACGAGGGTTGAACATGAACAATACAGACAGGTAACATAACACGAGGGTTGAACATCCGCAATACGGACAGGTAACATATAACACGAGGGTTGAACATGAACAATACGGACAGGTAACACAAAGCACGAGGGTTGTACATGAACACTACGAACAGGTAACATATAACACGAGGGTTGAACATGAACAATACGGACAGGTAACATACGACACGAGGGTTGAACATGAACAATAAGGACAGGTAACATCGTATAATGAACATTTATCCATCCATACTATTCATTACAAGTATACATTGATCCATAAACTCAAGAAAACAGTGGCATCTAATTACTCCAGATTATCATCTGACTGCTAGCGTAAATATTGGAGTGCAGTGATTAGTTCATATATAACG